GCTCTCGACGTCGTTAAATCCTTGAGAAATGCGCCATGCATTCGACTTCATTTAACATCGCTTGGAGGTTATCGAATGCATATCTAACGTTTACATTGGCCCACGGTGGCCTACCGATGTATCGAGCCAGTGCTGTTATCCTCCCAGACAAGTCTGGTACCAATTTGTCGATCCCGAAGAGATGGATGGCATGGTGAGCCAAGGGCACGGGAATCGATCCCATCTGTGCGTCACTGGACGTCTCCGACCACTGCGCCATACGCGCCCCTAATAATCAATAATAAATCTTTTATTCAGTTTCAAATTTGTCTACCCATTGACGAAGCGATGGCTTTATAGTCTCACTAAACATTTGAGAGTAATTTTTAAAACGTGTTTTCAGTAGTGAAGAAAAGCCGTAGACCTAACCGCAATCATAAAGGGATTAATGCGTGGTATCTTCGCAGCTAAATGGAAAGTGGCGAAATAGAGAGAAGTTAGGATAGCTCAGCATTGCAGGCCTCTTATTTATACTCCAACTAAGAAAAAGGAAACCAAATTGGTCTTATCGTTACTTGGTTGCCATGGTCGGTGCCCACATGTTATGCCACTTAGATCTCAGCTGTAGCATTAGCAGCAATGGTGGTTGGCCGAGTACCACACTCCTTTCGAAAACTCATATTGGACTCATAGTAACTATATGTACCATTTTAAAAAACAGTGCTAGGTCAACCGGTCGACCAAATGTTTTCAGCTTCGAAATCACCATATGCTGTATAATTTCATTTAAGTTACGGTAATTATAACATCTAGGAAACACACCGATGGTCCATTGGCCAACAGAGGCTTCGTTTCTTCCTAAAGTGAGAAAAAATTAAGCTGAAATATGACCGTTGGTAAATTTTAGAATGTAGGGGCAAATGAGGAAAACTCAATTCCATTCGTTATAGATGACAAGCCACCAAAAGAGGAAACATCAAGGAGACATTTGGAATTCAAAGCACACATGCTCACCATACTATTTTTCGTTGAAGCGCTGTTGGATAGTTTCTGAAATGTTATGATTTACGCATAAAGACTCCATGGTTTTACTAAAAACTGCTCTTTTATAATTAAAGTGTTTAATCGCTTTAATCTGAAGTACGTCTGCCTTGTATAATGTGAGTTATCAGGTTTCCGGTGGCTGCTGACTCCTTCCAAGTCCGTTCGCAAACCTTCCTACTCTTCAGTAGCGAAGCTCACCTTGTGCTGAGGACAGCAATAAGGTGAATGACAGTATCTGAAACGGATGAAAAATGGTTTTGTTTGTTAGTGATAAGACTGGTGTTAAACTTTTATCATTCAAACAATATGGACGATTATTTAAAAATGATTTCTCGGTCGGTGGAATTTGTTGCGTGCTACTGCAGACGAGTGAACCGGGTTCAACTCTCTCATTCTATTTCTTCTACTTATCAATAGTCAGTTTTGTAGAGGACAGCGACTGCTCTCGGCTTCATACAGAATATTCCCTGTCTTTAATATCGCCACGAATTTCTGAACTCTACTATTCATCGTTCTGTATCGTACTGTGCCTATTAGGAAATTCATATGATGGTGCCATACAGAATGTGTAACTAACATTTTCTAGGGTACTTGACCAACAGTCTTGGTCCACTCTTATCAGTAACCTTTGATTTATTAACGTATCGGATATGAGGAAATATCTTCGTGTTGTTTAAGACGAAACCACGCTTGTTTAATCGCCTACCCGCACAAGAATAGAAAAAATACAAAAAAGTTCCCAAAACCGACTTTTTGTCGAGCTCCGCACTAACTAAACAATTCACCGTTTTCTTGATGAGCAGATACGTGTTTTAACGACAGGATTTATTTTATTCACCACAATACTGCTGACACTTTGGTTGGTTTTGCCTTCTTCAGAGCCTGAAAAGGGCTAATTGACAACACGCAAAAGCACTCATGGCCTCAGCGGATAAAACCTCGCACATATTTTTTTATTTGGGTAGCAAACATCTTTTCTTAAGCACTCTCGCCGTTTTGTTCTTTCAAAATTTTTCAGATAGTTAACGGAAACCAGCCGGAAAAAGTTATATGGATCAGCAATACGCCTTGTTGAGGCCAGAAAAAACCAACCTGAGAAGTGAGGTAAGGTCACGTGTAGTCAGAAAGCACTCTAGCCATCCATTTTTGGATTGTTGGAATTTATCCAAAATACTTCATAAGTGGCGCATTGAGGAGCAGTGATCTGAGGCTCCGTGAAACGTACACGTAGAATTGGTCCTCGCCCCCATGGCCAACCAACCCTACCATCACTTCGAGGTTAGCAAATTGGTACCAGACTTCTGTGGGAGGATATCTTTGGTCGATACATAGGTAGGCCACCGCTAGTTATTGTAAAGGCCAGATATGGATTCAATCACCTCCAAGCGAAACTTAACGAAGCCGAATGCATGGCGCTTTCCCCAGGGATTGACCAACACCGACAGCTTTATGCTTTATCCTTTTATAGAGAACAGCCGTAGGAACTAGCCACTTTAATATAATTGTGATTTGTGCTACCGAAACTAAGGAAACCTAGATTTTCTTTGATTTTCTTTTAAGAAGTTTTCCATTCCTTATCTTCTGCTGGTGTTCATTTGGTTAATAAAGTTTTGTTTGAGCTATTTGAGCCGAGTTACGGGGTGTCGAAGTTGCTTCCAAATACGGAAATTCTTTCATCACGAATCCACTATTAGGGTCATTTGATATCTTTAACATAAATCAAATTTTTTTGTTATCCCAATTCCTTAATTCGTGACTGATCCCAAATCCTGATTCATTGAGGCACTGCGTAGCGTATTTTTGAATTTTAAAATGACTGGGAAATACTGTCTAACACTGGATATTTCTTGAAGAGTTTCAATCATAGCCGGGTAAACATTGTCTTATCAGCAAGTTTTTTCATTGATGAGCTAACACGAGGTCGATAAAAGACTTTATTCGACGAACGTATCGACGTTCTTCATCTTCCTCAGAGCTGGTGATCCGAGTCAGCTGATAATGATAACTGCTCCTGCAGAATGAATTGTTCGTAGAAAAACGAGTTATTATCAAATGACAGTCATTATAAAAAACAAGTGCTTTGAGTAAAAGAGCATCGACGCTTGAGGTCGCCTCATATGAGCGGAGTTTTACAGAAGAAAATCCCACTCGATGCAACTACGAAGGCGCCACGTTTACAGTATGAAGGACCATGGACGATTGACTCGGATTATCGGTTCTGAAAAAGATAAAGCCGTCGGAGCGTTGTAAATTTCTTTATCAACCTATGTGAGTTTGCAAATGGAAGAATACATGTTGACTTGTCGAATAGATTTCATCAGATTCCTCCTGAGTGCGAAATACTTCGAAGTCGCTTCGCACGCACGGTGATTGAAATCACCCAATGATGAAGCTAACAGCAATAGAGTGAATCTCCTTAGCGAAAGAGATTGGATAGAGAACATATTCGCTAGCAAAGTTTTCAAGTAATTGTGAATGTTCTTCAGTGGACTCGGGAATTAAATCTCGGGGCTAGAGTTGCCGCCATGCTAAGGCTAGAGCGTTAGTCGAATTACTACGCGTGACTAGTCTAGAATAACTGTGTATAAGAATCAAAACACCCAAACCCAATAAAACTAGAGTGTGCAGTTTTAATATTAACTACTTTTTATTCTTTTCTTATGTATGTCTAAATTTTTTCTATCTTACCCACCTGCTTCTTCTAACGCTTGCCTAAGCAGCCACCATCATCAGATTTTCACTGAGAGCTCTCTCTTCATAGCACATAGTTCGTCGCTTTTACTGGATGGCTTTTATCGATTGAGAAATGTTTTAAGTTGTAGAAGACTTTATGATCCCATATTTCAGTTCTCTAAACAGCTGCTTTAAATAACTTGTCACTTACGCATAGCCGTCAAAATGCACTCGAGAAATATGTATTGATTGGTGCTCTAATTCTCAGTGGTATATGGTATAGAAGCGCATCAATTTCTGTCTTTGTTGTATCTCAAAGAGAATAATCCGCGTAGAAGAACTCTGGGGCTTATGTGAGATTCGAAAATTCCCTCTTGTTTGAGGTGGTGGCCGCTGAGCATCGCCGCCTCACATGCGATCGCCTTGAACCAGTGCGACGACCCGCTGTGATTTAATGGAATTCGTCGACATGAACACGACAAAAACCGATGGGTGACGGAAATTGAACAATACGACCTCAAACACTCCGTTATTGATTGATCAGCGTTTGTGATTGGTTGCTATTGATCAGGAGAAAGTGGAAGTGCAATTGAAGCAAATGAGAGGAACTATTAGAGGAATTGATACTGCGTTACTTCCAACTTCTACCAACCAATCATTAACCAATCAGAAGTGTTCTTTGCAGCTTCACCACAGCTTCTTCCAATAGGTACTGAAGACGATCCCAGTGGTACTACGAGTACCAAACTAGAGGCTTCCCGAAACAAATGAAATAATGAATTTTATTCATAATAAGATGACCCGTATACAGGAGGCACAACGGATATTTGCTAAGCATAAATATTCAAACAAAAGCGAGTATATCTGTGACACTGGGTGACAAAAATGAGCTCATTTCTGTCGATTAATAGAAAAAATCTACACAAAGAATGATCGAAAGCATGTATGGTAAAGACATGAGATTGATCAAAGTCAATAGGCCATTACCGTACTCTCCGCACAGAGTAAATTTCTTTAAACAAATGGGCTATAACAAACAACAGGCGGCATAGATTTTTAGGTTGGAAGCACAACCAAGCGCTGACAAGCAACGAGTAGTCTTCACCAATGAATCTCTCAACCTAATCTCTACAGCGTTTGACAATAGTAAACAGATTTGAGTTCTTAGGACTAAAATCATCGTAAGCATATAAACAGAGATCACACACAGAGACTTGAACGATGTTGTAACAACGTCGATCGACGGTGATCGACGACGGCGTTGAAGTCGACGTCGACGACAACGATGACGATGACAGTGATTGTCAGTTACACGTCGACACCCATCGATGTTGCAGACAATCCTTGCAAATCAGTTTACAACACCAGACAAACTTACAATCGCACTTGTACTGAATCACTTCATGGCTGATCTAAATTGTATAACATTATTGTGTAGGAATACGGCCGGTCAATATTACTACTACTTGGTTAATATCAGCAATAATCCATTTTAATTCACGGTTTCCTCTCAACGGTTCGCCGCCTCATCGTGGCTGAGAGGTCATCCTGGGTGTCGGACTGCGATGTACAGCGGGAGGGTTCGTCCCCCCGGCAGGGTCTTTCAAGCTGAGAAAATCGACTACCGTCCCTGGTACGAAACTAGTAGCATGGCGGCAAATCTCCTTTTGATCTACAATGGATGCGACTGCCGCCTGTGGTGGCGAAGATCTGTGACAGGCTTTGGCCAAGCTGACATCAGGATTCCAGGGAACCACAATGGCTTAACCAGCAAATCTCTGGAGAATGAAAATTATGCTGGTGCCTGCACAACCAGTGAAGACGGCCCATCCAAGTATCCAAGTGAGTAAGCAAGTAGTTCATTGTTTTAGCAAATCCAATATACTCAATACTATACGAATGCCCGGAGGTCATACGCGACCTGATCGCGTACGTTCGCATCGATTTTTAATGTGGGATGGCGCAGTCGTCAACCACATGCGACTATAATCACCTGTTCTAAACTTCCTCATTGGAAGTCACGTAAAAAGCGGTGGGTTTTTTTCGAGAAGTTGTTGATCATGTGATTACCGGAGAGTTCTTCGTTTTTTGTAAGTGTTATTGAAGCGTTTGGCCTAGTAGATTGTATATCAGAATACCCTTCCAGGCTCTGAAGAAGGCGATACTGCCGAAACGTCAGCTAGCGTTGTATTGTATTGTGTTTTTATGGAAGTAAATGTATGCTGTTTAAAAACCTCGCGATTGCTGAACAAGAAAGCGACACATCCAATATACTCTCTTTGCCTTGATCTAAAGGCAGGCGTACGTTTTTTTTTACTTGGAAAGAAATCAAAACTGTTGTCTAACAAACGACACCATCTGATAAATTTCCATCAAAGATCCAGTAAACGGTCGATTAAAACTTGTAGAAATGTTGTAATGACGATATTGTAAGAGATGAGCATTCTTAGCTCTACTAGCAATCCTTTGAGAACTACCAAAAATTGGGAGACAGTGAAATATCTTGATTTACACGGATTATTTTTGTCAGGTACTATTGATATTTTCTATGGAATGCAGAAAGTTGGTAGATTACCTGAAAACCTTTTCCACAACAAATGCGTCCACAATCGCCTTGGGTGTGAGTCTCATTACGCCATGCACAGACTCTACCGGATATAGTCTAAAAATACCAGTTTTCACTACTTTCATAGAAACACCTGGATCCGAAAGCTTCATCGGAGTGCACGAAGCATAAAGTATGCAAAATTTTGCCGTGAGAAAAATATTTGGCGTAAGATGAGTGTGTGCGCCACTGAGCCACTCTGAGCGAATTGGATCAGTTAAAGGAGGACCTAAGTTTGTTGTTAATAAAGATTATTCAGAATTTAGCGTTAAATTTGGGCAATAGCTCACATAAATAGAACATACTGAATTAGGTAGAAAGAAGTATACAAGAATCCAATGCAAAACAGATTGGTGACGAAATACGGGTGAATTGCAATAGCACCGTTAGGGTTAAAAAGCTTGGTGAGAGGAAAGCAAAGCAAGGACATCGGTGGTGCAGTAGGTAACACGTGAATTCGCGGAAGGGATAATCGCTGGTTCGAGTTTTCTCTTCGTGAAAATCTTAGCATCGTTTTGGTTATGTTGTGAATATGCGTGTTTTCGAACCACTTTCGTGTAGGAAATATTTTATACGTCAGCTTGAAAACTTAAAGCATTAAAAAATATTTAAGTGTACTTAGAAAATAAAAGAAGGAAGATAAAGTGTTTGACGTTTGGTAACTCCTGTGGAATGTTAAATGCATTGGAGTCCATTCGTAGCATCTTTAAAAGCGATCGAATGGATTTCTATGCCGTGGTAGGACTTGTGATAGTTTTGCTATTTATCACATTTGTGCTTTTTGCCTGTCGGAAAAATCAGCTATCAATCTCTAGCGACAAAAAGAACAGAAGGCTTAGTTATCCCTGCATGCGATATTGGGCCAATGAACATATTTGTTCCGCAAGGAACGTCTCTGTCTTGCTGACCAAATTTAGTAGAAATTCTTCCTTACCTGTTGTTGACACGGATCCGGTGATGGTTCGATAAATACTAGATCGGAGTTTTTTGGCTTCTGATCTCCTGTGAGCATTCGTGAACGTGCATATCTGTGAGAAGCATGATTTCGGATGAATTTCGGTTGTTACAAAATCAAAGTCGCTGAAGTTTTCTACGTTTCTCTTACAGATGGCTTGTTAATATTAAAAAGTTTTATTCCTGCAATTGGCATCAGGTTCGAGCATTTTATGAAAAGTATTGGTTTCTGAGTTCTTAGAAACTTTTCTCATAACGCACTTATCAACAAGGTAATCAGTGATGTGGTCCAGAGTGGCCGTTTTTTTCCAACACGTTTTCTGTTGACATGAACCGGACACTCCGTGACATTTACATGACGCTATTAGAGTCTTTTTGACAGCCTGGAAAATAGTAGTTCCACTAGAAGTTTCAAGTCTCACTACTCAAAAATGAGGACTATATGAAAATTACCAGGCGTCCCGCTTTCAGATTGTGTTTTTCAACAGTTCTCAGCGGTGAACGAACTATTGGTGTTCTAGTGAGGAGCTTACGACTGGCCGTAATTCCGTGCTGTACGCTATAGGAACAGCTGTAAGATTGCGGTGTTGTAAAGTGAATTCGGTATCGCCTTTGGATAAAACGAAAGACATTTCGTTTACCCTCCGTACTCCCAGCCTGGTTGTCCATCATGTGCGCAAGAACAGTCTTCAATCCATCCCTGAGCACAAGCAGTCGCCACACCCCAAGCCGCACCAGCGGACGATAAAGCCCAGATCAATGCCGATTCACGATATCCTTCAAAACAGAACCCATTTTATTTACATGCAAATAGCAGTATTTAAAAGCTAGAAGACAATGTGATTGATTTTTTTTTGTTTGTATTAATTTCTTTGGTAGTCGTCATTGGTGCTTTTCGCTTCATTCAAGCAGTTATATCTCTTTACTTATTCGTAGCTGTTCAAGCGCTCATCCAACGCGACTACTCATTTCGTTTCTTATGGCAGCTTTTCTGTCTCATAGTGTTTATATACTATTTGTATTATAAAAAAGTATAAAGCTCTTGGCGCTGATTAATCCCTGAAAGATGCGCTATGCATTCGACTTCATTAAGTATCGTTTGGAGGTGACTGAATGCATATCTGGCCTTGCTATTGCGATACTCGCGGTGGCCTACCGAAGTATCGACCTAGTGCTGCGATCCTCCTAGACAAGTCTGGTACCAATTTGTCGACCCCGGGAGAATGGAAGGCTTGGTGCGCCAGGGCGAGGGAATTTTTCCCAAGTGCATTGCAGAGCGCCTCCGACCGCTGGGCCACACGCGCCTATCCTATTTGTATAGGTGCCATTATATCGGTATGAACTTGTAGGTATCATTCTCAGAACATTGTTACTTATTTGTATCAACTTTTTCATGAGTTTTATTCCAAGTCAACCATCGTTGTTAATAGTCCAAACTCTAAAACTTGCCGCTCCTAATTTTATCCTTTTAGGTAATTTCATTAATTAAGGAAGGACGATTTGAACGATTTCTATCAAGTTCTCAGCAGGTTCTACTCCTCTTCTGCAAAGAGGCTATCGTTTGTTCTCCATTTGGCCGTGCTACCATTGCCTTAAAAAGCTTACTCGTTCCTTGATTACTTCTGATTTTCATCTTCCTACATTAAACCGTTATGTGCTTCTATTGGAAAAGACATTTAAGTCGTCTCTTCTTAACTTCTAAATAAAAGCATGAAGGGGGAAATTTTCAGCGTTGATCACTCTTCTAGGGGCGATTCTATGGTTTTCCCTGATATCATAGAAGGGATTGAATGCATATTTGGCAAAGAAAAGACTTTCGATAGTCTATCGATGGTCTCTGTTCTTGGAGTCATGGACAAGTGAACACCGGAGAAGAGTGAGGCGTTAGAGGGATCGAGGCTGCAATTTAGTGAGCACTTTAGTGCACCTCTAATTTGTGCGCTACATTTCCCTTTGTTACTGGCGATTAGCGATATTTGTTGCTTTGCCTCTTTCGCTCTCTTTATCGTCATATCTCTCTCCACCACAACCTGTTCCACCACTTTGATCTCCTTCTTTCTCCCTCTCTCTTTTCCTCAGTCTCGTTTATTTTAAGCTCTTTACTAACCCTTCAACTGAACTTCCTACCACTTTATCACTACCAACCGTATTTCAGAATTGGCGGATCGTGCATTATGTGGCCGACATTCGAGCAATCCCATTGTTGAAAACGCATACGACCAGCGCACTGTGTCATGGCATCCTTTAATGAGCAGAGAAATCAGAAATGAAAGAAGCTCGTCTACTTCACTTCACAAAACATCAAGGCAAAAGTCTAAGACGAGCGTGAAGGATGAATTGCATAACCTACCTGTATCCCTTCAAAAGCCGCAATCACCGTCGACGCTTGAGTGCGGCAGGCTACCTGCACAGAACGAAACGCTCTCGAATGCAACAGATCCGGACCGCAACCCTTAAACAAGCATAACCCAAGTACTTTTATCGTCTTCTTTATCATTGCACTTAATTACAACAGTGTACTGCATCATACCTTCATTCCTTCTCCATAACTTTTGTGTTGTTTTCTCAATATAACAGCTTTCGTGGTTGAGACTATACGGAATTTTCAAACTTCTCTTTTTTACACGTACATAGTGCCCTAGTTATAAAATATATCGAAAAATACTTTTGGAAAGCAAATCTTCAGAAGTGATAACGATCTCGAACCTACGGAATCATTTTTAAAAAGTAGTACAACGTGTTTCCTCCTTGAATTATCGTGCAAGGGTTTGGGCGGTGGGAAAATCTAAGTGTATAGAATAGCTGCTCAATATTTCTAAGCAGATAGTTGCAATAACTAAATTACATTTATATGCTGTAGATTTTTTCGAATAAATTATTTCCTAGAATGAATAACAGCTTCAGGAGTGACGGTCGGATTCGCTATAGGGCAGATCTTCCTTCCACTGCTTGAGAATGAACAAGAAGATTAAAAGGAAAGCAAAGATGAAAATAAAATGAAATCGAATTTCTGTGCGGTTGGTCTCTACGTGACATACTTAGTGGAAACCTCATAGGAAGCGGTGAATGTGCAAAGCCGTGTTCAAAGTGATTGAACTCTTGGTTTGGAGTTTCTTTGTTTGGTTATGGAGGCGTCTGGCCGAGTGAGTTGCTATCAATTTGACCTTTCCAGGCTCTGAGGAAGGCAAAATCCGCCGAAACATCAGCTTAATCGTGAACAAAGAATAATAACACCTCGCGTTTGCTCAACAAAAATACGAAGAAAATTAAAATGAAATCGTCGTAAACACAAAATCAGTCAGAAACAGAAACAGCCATTCTAGCCAGAAACAGTAGCCATTTTAGAAGAAACACAAAGACAGCAGTGGTAAGAAATCGTTCACTGAGAGTCTCTAGTATGAGCAAAACTCATAGGATCACTCTTAAACGCAACAAGACAAATGGAGACCACTGCTGCGAGTTCGAGTCAGTTGACGGCCATCGGCAGAGATCGGTGGGTGACCGACAGCCACACAGAAAGAGATCGTAGCAGAAAGCTGATCATCCGTTACCATTATCCCTCACCTTCAAAATGAGCTCAAAATCTTCGTAAACAGAAAACTACCGAAAGTAAATTTAGCTACGACCAACTGTCATTTTAGGGAAAATGGTGATGAAGTGGTAAGGTGGCAAATCTATCTACGATTCAGAGAAAGCGACTTTTGCCTCCGATAAAGGCTTGAATACGCCACCAAGGTTTGTTCTGTGACACTAGAAGAAGCAAAATCAATCCAGAAAAATCACAGTACAGTGGAGATCGTGATGAGGTTTCGTGGAAGCAGCCCACTCAGAAATATTGTCAAATAATTTCTGTGATTTTCTAGAAACAAGCGAGCGTCCTTTTTTGTAGAGATGTTGGTTTTCGACTTTCAAAAATGCTTGATATAAAATCAGAATAAAAAGTTCCAGTCCACACCAACTGAACGTTTTCATATCAGCTGGAAGATTAATTTTCACAGGAAACAACACCAAATGTTCCGTTGGATTCGCTGAGTTATCTAAACTAAGAATGCTAAGAAGCTTTTCTGCAGTTCTTTCATCACTTAGGTGAAGTAACCCATACCGTCAGTAGTTTTGGCGATTTTCTAATGCGCGCACTTTTTCTTCCAGTTCACCTGACAGCAGTTCGCTTCATCGTATTGTTACAGTACTCAAACATACTGTAATGTGTGATTAAGCAATTGTGAGTTTAGCGTTTAGAAACGGATTTTATTGCTATGCGACCGCTCCTCTTCGGAAGACCATCAACTCATTGTAAAACAGGTTCGCCGCCTCGTCTGACTAAGAGCATTTATGGCCAGGCCGAATGTCCCATGACAAACGACGAAAACGAAATTAGTTTATAGAAAAACTGTGCAGTGGGTTTCGCAGTACTATCGAAGAAGGACGATGTAATGAAGAGATGATGACAGGAAACGGATATCTGTCCTTTTTGGATGGTACGAGTTGTCCTGTCGTGGATTTTGCTGATTTCAACGACTGATAGAGTTTTTGTCAATTCTAACAGTTCTTATACGATATGATATGCTAAGAATTACTGTAATAGGAAGCGGAAATGGTCAAAAAAGTTCTGTGTTTCACACCAGTGTCTAGGCAATTTTATTTTCATATTAAAACTGTACATCGTCACGAGTTTTTCCGGATTTCATACTTGATTTATTGTTGAAAAAAGCTTTGCTGTAAGTCAACAGTATATTTGTTCGTCAGAAATGATTTTGCAAGAGCAATGTAAGGAATTAATTGCCTGTTTTTTTTCAGAGATCTATGTTCGAACATCTGGCATACTCCCTCTTTTAAGATTCAGTCATTTTTCCACCAGTGTGACAACGAAACTGTTAAAAAAGACGAAACAATGACCTGCATGTGTCATGGTGAACGCATTAGCCCCCAGAAAGGATAATAGTGCGTTCGTTTCCCACCGCAGACACCTGCTGTCCGGAGTTTTAAAAATATCTCAGCATCGTTAAGGTTGTATTTCCGAAACTTTAGAGTTGGATATTTCTGGTTATTTTGAAAGAGAATAATCTTGTATAAAAATTATTTGAAGTCATTTGATCGAATTTGACCCTTATTAGACGAACGGGTAGAGATTCCATTCTATGTAAAGTCTTTTAGTTGTTTTATCTCGATCACTGCACAGCTTCGTTGGTTATTTCGTGAGTACTACTATTTGAAGAAATGGAAAAACTATCATAAAATGTAGAAGGATAAATTACTAAGTAGATATTTTATCACAGGTGTATATTTGAGCTACAACTAAGAATAAAAGTTTGATAACAACCTCATCTAGGAAAACTGCTGCGGTTTTCATGAAGGTTTTGCCCGTAACTCAACCGGCTGAGCGCAATGATTCTAGCCACAGCTCGAGTCACGAGAAAAACTTAGATATTGATCTGTATCGGTTTTCAATTTTCGGATATATTTGCACAGAATGAAGGATAAAGGATAAAACGTTCGCACGTTGGTGAATTGAAGCACGTCTAACCTATACAGTGGCTTGCGGTGGCCTATCGATGCATGAAGTTTATCTTTACATACAAATCTGGTACAAAATTACCGACTTTCAGAGGATTAAAAAGCTGACTGAGCGCAGGGCTGGAATCGAACCACTGAGCAATGTTGTGTGTATTGAAGGGAACTTCAAGCTGCTCCACAGGCTCTCGTTGGATAGATTGGTACAGAAATAAACCACGCATTTATAAAGTTCAGATGCTCAAAAAACCAGTTGCAATGATGCGAAAAAATTGAGAAAGAGATAAATAAATCCTAAGCACTTCTTTAAAGTACTCATCATAGGATATACCACAACGACGATCCACCTAGAAAAATTCTAATATATAAAAAGTTTCTTAAAAACGTGGGGTAGAAATTATGCTAACTGCCTGTGTTTAAAAAACCCGAGATCTTCCTTGTAAAAATTGCGCTATGTAGGAACTGAGTAGAAGACTTCTTCCCGATATTCTGTCTTTGGAAATCAGTCATGGCCTTCATTAAAGGAAAAAGAAGCGATAACAATTTACCTTTAAAAGTTCGGACTTTTTTGTGGAAAGAGTACAGTTCTAGAAAAAGAATCTCATGAACTTGCTTCCCACCTGTGTCTGATTCCATATAAACTTTGAAAACTATAAAAAGCGTATTCACAAAAATTTTATAAAGGTTGTGAACTTTGAGGAATCACCAATAAAACTTCTCTGCTGAATGAAATACGGACGAGAAGGGAACTGGAAACAGAACCAAAAGGCAGTATTTCTCACTGGAACGAAAATGATGCTATTTGCATAATTATATTGAACAACTGAAACATCCAATTTTAGTATTTTCCATTTTTATGATTTGTATTTTTTAAAGAGCGGCGTGTGTAGCGCAGTGGTCGGAAGCACCCCGCAATAAACGTGTGCTCTCCAGCTCCACCAAGCTTTCCTTCCCTTCGGGGTCCGCAAATTGGGACCGGACTCGTCTGGGAGGATAGTAGCATTGGCTCGATGTATCAATAGGCCACCGCGAGTCATTATAGAAGGCCAGATATGCATTCATTCACCTCTAACGATGGTTATAGTTAATAAAGTCGAATGCATGACACTTCTGTCAGAGATTGATCAGCGCGGAGAGCTCTATCCCTTGTCCGTTATTTTTTGGAAATCTCACGATGTGGTGCGAAAACGATCATCAGAGCTCTTCAGTTTTCTTTTTTCTTAAAAGTTAAGCTTCTACTTCAGATTGCTCTTAGTAATATTGCGCTACACTCGCGTTACTTCGCCCATGCACTCTTCTGGTTAACTGTATTAAACTTAAGTACTTTCCTTGCTTAGCTCTGAAATCAAGCACTTCGTCATATTTATTTTGGAAAATGATTATTATAGTATTATATAGATGGAAAATTTATTGGATTTTGGGGTGTTAGAGACCGATGGAACCACTTGCCTTAGTATTTAAGTCGATTTTTGTGTAAAAATTGCACCGATGAAAAAGTGCGAATGACTGGAAGGTGGGAAATACTTGGGTAAATTAGTAAATAAGCAAAACAAAAAAATCACTTCTGTCTTTCAGTTAGAATCGAAGCCTGCTCACCATATGTTAAATGAAGCCAGCATAGGTAAACGTTATGCTCGAGAAAGTCTCTACGGTTATGTTAAAGAACATATCGTTAATGCTGAACTATCTGCACAAAGAAATTCTTGCGATGAAGAGGAAATATTGTTCATTTTCGGATTCACGGAGTATTTCTAGGGATACAGTCTATGCCAAGATAAAGTTTGATCTTTAAACGACTCTATCGCTTGGGTCGCCATTTGAGTGGGAACGACCAGTGATTATGATTTTTGTCACGGTGGATGAGAAGACTCAAAATTCTTGCTGTGGAAATGATCAGAGGTGTTTGAATAAGTTATTGAAAGAAAAGGAATAAAAAGAAAGAACGTGCCACTCAAATTGATGATCTTACCTGGAGAAGCTTTATTGGAGCTGGAGGTGGAGTGAAATTATGCACCACATGGGAAAATAACAATAACACACCAAGAATAAGCCAATGATGCATCTGCAGTGAAGAGTTGACAAGATGAAAACTTTCAGTGTCAAGTGATTCATTGACGTCGCTCGTTGAATGACGTCGTTCCGAGGAATGATTCTTGTTCAGTGGGGTAATTTCATCAAGATCATCGACATGCCTGGCGTCGTCTGCCATCACCAAGTACGGTAGCGGACGAGTTGCTGCGGCGGCGGTGCGCGGTCGAATGCGCAGCAGTCGGCGCCGGTGTTTGCTGCGGCCGATCGACGGCCTCCTCGTCGAATACACTGCCTCATAACGGCTACCGTATAGGATGATGGTGGAATCAGGGTCAGTGTCGTATAAGAGTGCATTAAAACGAAGCTCGTCAAAATTTAGCACCATGCGCTGTCATGCACTACGGCAGTAAAGCTGACAATAAATGTGAAAGAAGGAGATGTTGAGTGGATGTTCGTCCTAAAACGAAATATTGAACAAGG